CCGGGCGCCACGCGGCACAGCACGGCAGGAGAATGGCCGGGCGCCGCGGGAGAATGGCCGGGCGCCGCGCGGTGTGGCGCAGCAGAACAGCCACGGACCACGGGTCAGGGGCGGAAAAATGGCCGCGGACCACGTGTCAGGGCGGAAAAATGACTATACCCCGAGGCGGAGTTCGCACATTGAGGTAAATTTTTGCAGTCGGAACTGGTCGTAACCCGAAGTTCGTTAGTAGAGGTGTTCGTATCCCGAGGTACCACTGTACTGCTGTTCTTCCCTGCGTATAGTCTGTTCTGGCTAACAAATTATTTGAGATCAAAAAATAAATGTGTTTACAAAATTCCTTTGTGCAAAATAAGAAAAAAATGACAGATTGTACAGTCTCCATAATTTATTTTACATGGAGAGTTTTTATTTTTTTGGGACAGAACTAGGAGTTTGAGTGATAAACCTTGGTCATCTTTGAACCAGAAGAATTAAGACAATTTTTCTCCCCATATTAATTAACAAAGCCACACACATTCTTTGAGAGGAGTCAAGGCTACATGTCACAGAGGCTGAGGGTCTAATATTCTTGCTGCTGCAAAATGGATTTAGGTTGGGAAAAGTATTGATTGCATTTTAAGGTAATCACAAAGTTGTTCTCAGCATAAACAGTGTCTGGACTGCAAAAATTATTTCCTTGATTGGGTGGGCTTTTAGAAATCTGTGGCAAAGATACAGGGAAGAGTAGAGATCAGTGAATTGTTGAAGATACAGGAAGCTCCCCACAGAACATGGCCAGGATCAACTACTTCTGTGCAAAGGCAATACTGGATGTCTTTAATAAGGCTGTTGTCTGCCCATCACTTGCTTGAGAGTGTTAGCCAGTACCATGTGCACAAAACCAAGGATGTTCATTACAGATCAGGAGAACTGATTTTCAAATCAGCTTTCTGTTACAGGAGCAGAGCTATCAACACTATCTAAAAAGAAAGTATCTGTGTAAATACATTTAGAAATCACCCCAAAACATAACTTGTCACAGATGGAAATGTATGCCCTGCAGGTGGATAGTACAACAGTATTACTGTAATACTGTAATAGTCTTGCAAGTGGATGGTCAGCAGCATTATTATTAATATTGCTGACAAGCAAGGATTCAGTAGCTGCTAATAAAATGGGTTAAAAAATGAAAGTGGCCTCTGATTGACTGGAGGAAGCTGGATCCTAGGAATACTCACTATCAGGATTCAGGAAGAGAAAGGCTCTCTGGTGTAGATCCTCCTCCTCTTCATCCATTTTCATGTACTTATAAAAGCCAAATCTGGAGGTGAAAACAATAACATTTCAGATGCAACATGCATGTGCGCGCACACACAAAACCTGTGTGGCTCAAATGTAGCTGAGGGCTTTGGCTTACATAATCCTATTTTCACAGAAGCAAATTCTAGAAGAGCATTTTAAAGACTTATAAACATTGCAAACAGAAGGTTTGGTGAGTCACAGCTTTCTTCACCGGATGTATGGAGTGGTCTGTAATACACGTGTACTCACCTAGACACTCAAGTAGTGAAGGATAGAGGCAGTTGTTGAAACTGAGTTTCAAAACATTTAGGTAGAAAAGAACACAAATTCTAATCCAGTCATGTTTGCTATAAAAACATGTTGGTGAAATATATCTGATTAGTAACAAAGCATGAGAGAGGTAAGAATCCCGTCTCAATGCCAATGTCAGAGAGCACCCATAATATAATAACTTCCCTGTACATGGTTCAGTTGTAATTAAAACAGGTTCAAGGAGCAGAAGAATGCCATGCCAAGAGCCCCCAATCCTCCACTCAGCCTTCCCCTTGGGGTTCACTCCTGTGCTACAAACATCTGCTGAAAGGGCCTTCCAGAGTATAGCCTTACATGCAGAGGATCCTTCACAAGCTGGAACCTGAACAGATTAAGTCACAGCTCATGTATAAATCATTGTAAAGACTCCTCCCTGCAGCTGTTGATAGTCAAGAAGTAGGACTCATCAGCACATGTAACTTGTCATGGACTTGCTTCTCATCCACAGGGTACTTTAATCAGTTTTTTAAATGACTGAGAAGGGTTGGAGATATTTTCTGCAGAACATCAAGATTAAGGGTAGCCATGCAAATATGGCTAAGATCAATTGGGATGTCTGGGAAGGGGAAGAGAGGCAAAAACACACTGAGTTTTGAACATCCAAAAGGATAGACGAGGAAAAACGTGTAGCTGTATGTTTGAAGTCCTATCTGTACCAGATTGCATTTTACAAGTGACTTTTTTTTAGAAAGAACATTCCATGAGGAGAGTTGCTGAGGGGCACTTCCAGAGAGCAGGGGCACTGGCAAGGGAATGCCCCACCATACAGGCCACAGAAGCACAAGGGCTGAGTCCTTTCTATTACACTTGTTAAGGCAAGGAAGGTCCGCCAGCTTAGGGCTTCATGATCTCTAAGTCCACCAGTCAACAATACCTAAAGTGGAGGTGGGGAGGGAGGAAATGGCTGTGAAAGCTGGCTAATCCAGTTTCTCTCAGAGTCAACACAGCACCACAGAACAAGTGTCAAGCCCAGGGACTGAACGGAAGGAGGTGGTCCTACCACAGACCTGTTGGGCTGATTGTAGCTGAGCGGATTCGCACCCTTGACCACACCACCTCAAGCCTCCTCCTCCATATGCCATAGATTGTCCAGATGGGAGATCTTCCATTTTCCCAGGAAAAATACTTCTTTCATGCCAGAACACCTTGGACCCAGCTTCAACATGCCTCAGCAGTAGGCTACCTACTAGATGGAACTCTGTTGCAAAGATAAGTCCTCAACAAACAGTAAGTGGGCATATTGTCAGGTGACCAGGTTGCATGGATGAGCCTTCAGCCTGCTAAAAGAGAACTTGCTTTCTTTCACCATTAGATTTTCTGCTGTTCAATCATTCCTTTGAGAACTGTTCTTTTAATGACTCTCCTTTATACTTACTTTTCTAGGTACAATGGGGACTCTCTGTAGAAGCATTTGTTCTCTGTCTCCATGTGTGTAAGCCGGGTGAAATCATTGGGATAAACAAAAGAGAGGTAGACCTGTAGGAGGGGAAAACTGGTGAGAAAAGTCACAGCAAGATATCTACGTTCTACAGAAACTAGGGAAAAGGAAGAACGGACATATGGATTATCTCATCTAGGAACAGGAGTTCTCCAAGCAAATCCTAAAATATGGTCATTATACAGGTCCATGGATATAAACCTCAACTAGGGTGAGAGAAACTGTTAAGGACTGCACATCAATGTCTGTGTTGTGATATATTTTAAATCTAGCTTTTATTTTCTTTTACTGAGAAACAAACTTCCACTCCAGGATATTGTGCCTACAGATACACAGGGACTTATTAAGAAATGTTATATATGGTTTCCAGGGTTCAGATAGCAATTACCTATCCATTCTCCTCTCTATCCCTTCCAGTCCTCTCTTCCTAGATTCCCCTTTCTCCTCTTTTCTTATTTACTAATGTTAATGCAGTTTCCATTAAAACATTGTTGATGCCGTTATTTTGCATACTAAGAAGGAATGACAAAAAGAGGAGAGATGTGGACAGGGAAAAAATGGCAACAAAGCCTGTCAGACACTTACAAATTGCAGGCCCTGATAGCGGGCAATAGGAAAGTCCTTCACCACATATGTGGGACTGTAAGCACAGGGCACCAGCACATTCTCCACATGGGATGGCTCAATCTGGGGAGCTGAGAGAAAGGCAATTAAGAAAGAAGAAATTATACCTTTCTAGATCACATGAACTTAAGTGATGACTCCCTCCAGACTGTGATCTTCTTGTCTGATTTATCCTAGGCTATGATACTTGCAGTTAACATCATGGGTTAAGTACCAGGTATTCTTCTCCTTGGCACTTTATACTTTATGAGGAGGGATTTTGCTTTCTGTGGAGAAGCACTTTATTAGGTGCATCCTTCCTTGAAGCATAAAGTGGTACAATGTACCTTCTAAACGTACTGGACCACCTTTCATTATTCCCATACTGAAGTAGTGCAACATTCTTGGTGAACATCAGGCTGGAGACATCTATCTTGCCCTTTCCAAAGATCTCAAGATTATAACACAGAAAGGTGGTCATCCTAAGTTTCACATACATAAACATTTTTTTATGAATGCCTGCTTAACCCTTTGCTGCTAACACTAATATTTCCTTAGCCTAATCCCTAAGTGCCTGCTCATATCATACTTCAGAGCACAACACTGCTTCCTAGTATCCAGCTGTGTTTCTCTTAGTCAAACTGTTTCTTCCCTCCCACTTACTGAGGAAGAAAATATCCCGAGGGTCAGGCTTCAGCATATCAGCTCCGTGCTCATCCCTTTGTGCACCCCAGAGGTAGCTGTCAGCATGGCTAGCAAGAGACTGAGGCACATGTTCTACCTCATTCATTTTCAGGCTGGTTTCATCTGAGGATAGAGGAAGAGAGGGGCAAGAAGAGAGGAGGTATGATTGGTGTGGGTAAAACTCACATACCCTTGGATGTTTGCACAGCACAGGTAGCCCACATCTTCTCACATTTGTCAGAAATAGGTACCAAGCAAGAGGCTTCTTGGAATAGATTCCTAACATTTTCACAAAGCCCACTAGCTGCAACCGACCTATTTCCGTGACTAACAATGATTAGTGGTCTCTCTTCCTCACCCAATGCTCTCTTTCTTGTTAATGTCATTTTCTGGTAGGCATTTTTGTTCTGAGAAGCTGTGAATTTTCTAGAGTCAAGTGGTTTGTGTGCATGTGCACTCGGGCGTATGTGTGTGTATACACACACACACACACACACAGAGCACATTTAATGTACCATTTGTTAGAAACTCTTAAACCAAGGACTTGATTTATAGCATACTTTCCAATGAATGTGTCAATACTGGTTTTCTTGCCTTGACCATGGCCTTTCTGTATGAATCTTTACTACTAAATCTGGTGACTTTGTTGCAGATCTTGCTTGGTATTTAGTTCCTATTTTCACCCTAATGCCCTGGCATTTTTGTTACTGCCTCCATGCCTCCTTTATGCTCATCAGTCCTTGTTCTCTGCTCTTTGCTATTCTGTGAAAGGATGTGGCCCTTTGCTATTTGTGGTTTCATTTATGCATATCCTTTTTCTCTTCTCCTTTTGAAGTGCTTTGATTTAGAATTAGGCATATGCAAAAGTTTTATTTTCCTTTGCCCCTGGGGTTGGATAGGCCTTGCGATCAATGCCCATGTATTTTCCAATAAAGGATCAATTCCAAACACAACTGGTTGTCTTTGAGGGCCACCTACGACACTTCATTCCTTCCAATCTCACTCAAGTTTCTACTTGAGGTTGAGCTTTTAGATCTACAGGGGTTTTATCAAAATTATGCAAAGCTAGGCTATATTTTTTCTAGTTAAAGATAATTTTTACTTTTTATGCAGTATCTCTATTTTTATTAAGCCTTTTTACCAACTCACATCTTTAAAATATGGCTGTGCATCTTCTTCCTGATAAAAGGCTGGCTACTACCTAGGTGGAAAAACAGAATTTTCCAGTACTTCTTTTGGTCCACAGGTTCTGTTTGTTAGAAAAAGGGATTCCTTTTTCTTGGTATGTTTAAGGCTAATCACAGTCATTATTGTTTTTAGAAGGATGACAAGGGGAGGGGAGCTGCTATGGACATGCACTGCTGGGGGATGTATTTGAAATGGGCTGTAATTGGGTATATAAAGACTCTTTGAGATTCAACCATGCCTTATCTGCTGTGCTCTCTCTGTTCCAGTAGTGCCAAATTATCAAATTCTCTTTCCAGGTCTCTGTCCATAACTTCTGCCTTACTCTCCAGAATTTCCACTTTGTCATTAATTTGCTCTACATCTCTAGACACTTGTTTTACAGAGCTTTCCATCTTCTTAATTTCTTCTTTCATCTCCGCTTTCATCTTTACAAGTCTTTCATCCATTTTTTTTTCAAAATCTGTCAATGTAGTATCCAATGGTTTAGTCAATTTAGTATCAAGTGACTCAGCTAACTTATTGCCCAATTCCGCAAACATTTTCTGAAGTAAATCTGATATACAGTGGTACCTCGGGTCACGAACGCTTCTGTTCACGACCAATTCGGGACACGAACAGCACCGTTCGCAAAATTTTGCTTCCGTCCACGAACTCCGCATCGGGTGACAAACAGGATCCGTGACCATTTTCGCTGCTGTGACACGTGGTCGTGGCTTCCTGTAGGGAGGGGGACTCTCCCCCCAAGCAATAACCGCCTCCCCCCCCGCCTTCCTGTCCTCCACGCCAGAAGTCGCCTCGAGCAAGGTTAGTGTTCTCTCTCTTCGTACTGCACCGTACTGTATTTTGTTTCATATTTTTGTGGTTTTTTAAAAAAATACATATGGTTCAGAATGGATTAACCGTAATTACATTGAAT